TGGAATTGTGAAATCAAAGTGTATATGGCTATTCTGGTGCAAAATCTTTAACACGATTTTCATAAATGCAGTCGTACATATTAAGCCGTAAATATTAACAAGCCACAAGACATACAAGACACCAAAAAATTCTTGACAAGAGATCTTGAGACTTGCACTTTCGTGGCTAACACGTTTTTGCGGTTAACATCTTTGATGGCTAAAGGATAAAATTTTCAAACTTTTACGCCTAACGGCTAAATTTTTTGACCCGTTTTAGGGTTAATGGTTAACCCCATTGAGAGCTAGCCAATAAGCGCTTTTCTCCGGTTCAGTGTTATGAACATATATATACATACACAAATTGAACTTTATTTACTCCCGAAACTTCGGAGCACTTAGTATTTCTGCTGATTTTTTCCAGCTACCACCTAATGTTACAAATCATAATAATGAACGAAAAGTTAGAACAAAGCAGATAAATTTATGTAATATAACATTAATAAGAATAATAGCTAAATAATGAATAATAATAATGATAGAAATAAGCGAAAGATCTTGAAATCTGTAACAGTGCAATATTGATATGGCCGCCTATCAACTAAAGCAATTAAGGTTATAAGTAGTTGTACATATTTGAGGCAAGGTGAAAATATACGTTTTTTCTTAAAATCAACTAATAAGCCCTGCATCGCATACCGAAACAAGTGTTTTAAGTATTTAAGTTCTAAGTAGTCTTTTACAGTATTGCTACTCCCTTGTAAATGGAACGCAAGTTCACTGCACTGTGAAGCAGACTCAATGCATATATAATGACCTTGACTATTGTTTGAACCCAGCTTGCTCGATCCGGACTAAAAAGGCGGGATAATGCAAATTACTATATATTTAATTTGACACGGGCAACCAAATCCCATAACTTCGCTGAAATTGTTGTGTTTGAATCTAAAGTTTAAAATTTTGATTATGGCTCTTCTTCTGGTAGCGGAAATAAACCTGAACGATGACGTCATAACATGTCATCAAAATAAAGCCAAAGATTTATCACTTACATTTAGAGACCGCAGTAATCATCGAGCTAATAGCTGGTTTTCACATGACGTCACTAAAATTCGAACTACAAAACTATTGATCTCCCTGAGATTTTACTTTAATGATGTATAAGAGCAGCTGAAAACTAATATTCATACAAATTTTCGCTCTGAATGGTTTCTTAGTTTTGTAATACACTACGCTTGAATTTCCAAGCTTTTGCGTGACGCGGCATTTACATGACGGCCTAGAGAGCTGTCATGAGGGTTAAAAAACTGACCTATTTCGGGGAACTTGGCTATCTGAACAGTTCAGGTCTTAGAAAAAGTATTATTTTAATATTTTAGAGTCCCTCGAGGGATAAATTCAGGGTTTTGTAGCAAAACTCAGTGACAGATGTTTCTGTTGGTTTCCGGCCGCCATGTTGGTGCCCATACGGATGGCACCAGCATGATGGCGTCTCCATACAAATCTCTCTAAATTTGGGAAAAAAATTTCTCCGCATATCTCGCATAAGAAAAATTCTTGTGACCCGAATTTTGGCGAGAGTCTTTGCCTATTTACCTTCTTTCATTTCCCAGATTCTGGACTTTATCTATTGACCGGTTTTGATTTTTATTTTGATCTAATTTTAATTGCGTGACACTGAAAACCAGCAATACTGTAAAGAGTACAGCTTGCGTCATCACAATCTGATTTAGTTTGTTGAATTTTCAGGAGATAAAAGTGCCAAGAACAAACTGTTATGTTTTCTCTCCAGTAACCTCCAACCACCCCACCCCCCGCAGCCGTCAACCCATGGCAACTTGGCCAGCTTCAGGAAACGTATCTTGTAACTTAGCAATCTCAAGTTCAAATACAGTCAAACAAGAAAACTAATATGCTTGCTGTCGGAAACTGCCAGCAGACATAAGAAGTATAAACTATAGATGCCTTGCGGAGGAAAGTATGTTTTTCAATGTACAACATACACTAGTCATCAAAACACCTTGATGTGAAACAATGTCGATCTCCCGGGGGGTATTCCCATATATGGGCTATATAGACGAGTGCGGCCCCGAAGGGTATGGTTTTTCAGCCGTTTCAGTCATGAATAGGGTATCGATTTTAAGCTGATTTTGGCCATTTTGGTCATAAATAGGATATGGTTTTTGCACTCTAGCATTGTTATGGGTATGTTTTTAAGAAGAAGCCACTTTTTCATCATTATCGAAAAGAAAATCAACAAAAGCCCTTCA